TTTTTATGACTTGAGAAAATGTATCAATTCATTTCCTGGTCCTGGGGAATGACTGGTCCTGCAATGGTCAGCCCAAACATGGGACTGTAGGAATAGCAACTTGGTGTGCAGTGTACAGCACTGCAGGCTCTTGCACAGAGTGCTGCTGACCCTGAATTTAGGAACCTGTGCTTGTGTCCAAGGAATGTCTCAAGCCCCTTGGCAGGAGTGAGGCAGGAAGGTGGTGGGACTAAGGGATGTCCTGTGCAACCTGAGTTTTCTGCCCTTCCATGAGCTTAGGAAATGTTTAGCTAGAAAATGCTACACACATGCTGGAGGTTTGAAACCCTCAGATTTTTTATTCAAACCATTAAGCTCTTTCATCTAATGAAAATCACTTTCTTTTAAAATGGAAAACATTAAACAAACAATAACTATTTTTTTTCCTAATGACGTTTTTGATCCAAGAGCTTTCAGAGTGCTTAGCCTTGCAACTTGAGATTTTTTTTTTTTTTTTTCTAACTGCTTTACAAAATCACAGGATGTTTCTGTGGTGAACATACATCTGTGCTGGCTTTTGCTGAGCTTTGGAAATAGGTCAGGAATTAAAGCTCCAGCTTTGTGGTTCTGAGGAAAGCCCTTAAGAAACTCTCTCAGACATAAGAGGGTAAAGAGGGGTCACTGGAAGTGCTGTTTGACCATATATAGATGGCATGGTCTCTGCTGTCTGCAAGCATGTACCACTATACCCAGCCACATATATGTATGAGCTGCTGAAACTGGTGCCCTTCAATGCTTGCTTAGGACAGATTGCTGCAGGAAAAAAGCAGAGGCAGTCATAGGAAAACATTAAGACAAATGCTCTGCCTTCATGTGATGATGGTGCCTCTTCCTTATGTGCCTTAAGCTTATCTGTATATCCTCAGCCCATTATCTCGTGTCCCTCTGTGCAAAGCCAGCCCCATGGGTGGGTTGCATTCGGTGTGTGGTGTCATTGCCATGGAAACCGGCACCAAACCTCGCTCACACATCGTGCCTGGATGCTGATACCGATGGATGGGGGTCAGGCTGCTGACGGGCTGCTGATGGATGGGCTCGGGCTCTGGCATCTGCACTCTGCTGCCCCAGGCTCTTTGCAAGCCCTCTGAAGAGGAAGGTGGTGGGAAGAGGGATGGGATCTTGCAGGGAAGGGAAGAGGAAAAAAATTGTGCAGGAAGCAAAAATGGCCAGTGAAGTGTGAAAAATCAACCATTTTGTCATGCTCTCAAGTATTACTCTCTTKCTGTAGTTCGTTAATTTTGGGRTTTATTTTGGTTTCAGAATATCAGYGGAAATGAATAARTGCTGCSACATTAKYRGAAGGTGCCTGAGTAATTTCTTATTCCCTCACCCTGGGTCTCAGCAGGGCAGCATGGAGGAGCTCTGGGTGAATGAGGCATGCACTGAATGTGAAACACAGAGGTGGAGAGCTTGGCATAGGCATTAAACCCAGACACGACTTCTGTGGGTTTTCCTGCAACATTAAATTAAAAAAAAAAAAGTTCAAAACCTTAGGTTAAAAAAAAAAACAACAAACCAAAGCTAAAGTGAACTGAAATAAAACAAAATCCAACCTTTGGGGTAAATGGAATTCCCCTATATTTRTCTTTCCCTACCTGCTAAGAATGTTATGTCAGTATTACCAAATGTGAGGCTTTTTCTTTTCAACATTACAGAAGGGAGAAAAAAATGAGATGGAAGGAGAAGTATTTTGGGTTTTTGTGTTTTTTTTTTTCTTTTTTTCTTTTTTTTTTTTTTCTTCAGGACATTTTTCCTTTCCTTTGGCATAAGCAACTTCTTCCATCTCCCTATGTCCACTGTTAGACCTGTGGATAGCCTTTAAACAACCTCATCACAGTGTAGCTTTCTGCCATCCTAAAACAGTGCTTTCCAGGCATGCTGTGTAGGCTGCTTGCCTTCACAATATGCACAGTTTTTCATGGCTTCTGTGCCCAGGTTAGGGAGAGCAGCTACTGCTTTCTGACTCCTCTTCCCAAAGCCTCTGTGTGCACTCTGCAGCACAACTGGAAGGGCCCCTTAATACTACCTGCAGATGAAGGAGGCAAATCACATTTTCAGCTGCTGTAAGGAGGTCTGATTTCTTTGTTGTGGACACTGCTGAGTGTGTTTTACTGGTAAAAGGTTACCATGCTAAAGGGTTAGAAACCTGAGCATGATACAAACCTTGGGTGACTGCTGATTTAAAGGTTCTTCTCACTCTCTGTGCCTCCTGCTCTTTTTTTCTGGGGGTGCTAATCAACCCAAACTAGTTGCAATAGGTAAGAGGAATGTATTCACAAAATCTTTACTGTACATTTTTTCTGTTCCTGCTTTTCAAGCAACCTGTGCGGCCTGTGGGCAACATGCCATTCTGTCAAAATATTTTAAGCATTAAGCCATTTATTTGGTATTTATCTGAAACTAAACTGCTGCACTTAATATCTAAGTGTAATAAATTTATTTTTTACCTTTTATTACATGGAAATACTTTCAAATCTGAGAACCTGCCTTGCATAAATGTGCAACAACACACTTAGGCTTGGCCCCTGAGAGGGGCTGGCCATAGCCAGGTGGTTGTTTAACAATTTGCCAAGGGGAAATTGAAGGCCAGTGCAAGGTGAAGCCCTGAGCTGGCTGGGGAGTTATGCTGTGGCTGCTGCTGCTGCTGTTTCCCTCCTGTGTATTTCCTGCAGCCACTCCCCTCCATGCCTCTTCCTGCAGGAAACACACCAAGGGCACAATACATGGAGGCTGAAAGGGGACAATTGAAGCTGGTGCTGCTAATGCTGCTCCCTGGCAAAGCAAACTGGTGTTTTCAGGAGACTTTGTGCTTGGTCAGTTTGAGGTCAGGTGTGATGTGTTTGTGCTCACAGAYTGGCTTCATTTCAGACCCTGCATTTCTTGAATAAACCAAGTGCTTGTAACTCCTTTATCTCAGCATCCTCTGAAGCTGCTCATAGGGGTGCAGCACGTGCACATCTCAAGCTGTGATCTCTTTGCTGTACCCCTGCTTGCCCTCAGCTGTGTCACTACTGACAGTGGGAGGGTGATGGCAGTTCTGCAGCATTCCTGACTGTGCATGTGTGCCAAAGCCTACCAMAATTGTCCATCCCCTATGATCTCAGGCAGCAGGGTGACCTCATTGCCATGAAATCATTGAGCTGCAATACTGTGTGGGTCCAGCTATAGCATATTCAAGCTGAGTGTGGCTTTTTGTCATGTATGTGTGTAGTTGCTAACTGGGTCTTCATRTGGTGGTGCCCAGGTTGCTGTCATTTTCTCTTTGATTAGTCTCCTCTCTAATTTAAAATAAGTCTTCCCTTGAGGGAAGTTTTTCTTCATTTATTTTGTTAGTGGATGTTTCTTTTGAATTATAAACTTCCTTCTCTGTATAGAGCCTAGAAAAATGAAATAGACTGACAAAAAATTAAATAATCTTGCTAAACATGAGGCTGACACTRTTGAAGTTTAAAAAGAAAAAATCTGAAAGTCAACCTTGTTTCTGGTGTTTTCTTACAGCCTTTAAAATTCTTCTGCCAAAAGAAGTGACCGCAGTAGTGTATGAAACTGTGGAAAAAACAGCTGAAYCTTTTTATATGTTGTTATTATAATATCTAGTCCCCTCTTCTGAAAACATAAGTCAGGGAAATGTGTGCATGGAAGTTCAGAAAAAACACCTGGACTCCTTTTAATATTAAAGTCTTCAGAATATATAAAGATTACCTTGATAGACATGCTTTGTTCTTTAAATGAATCAGTGAAATTTGGCATGCTTCTTAAAGAGGCCTTTTGCCAGTCTTTCTCTATATTCTTAGCTCATGCCTTTGCATAATGATGTGATCTATGGTGGGCAGGAATTATTCAGCCTAACGATGAATAATGGTAGCATTTGTGGTCAATTGGTCATGACATTCTCATTTGAGCATTTCTCTTTGGGAACTGCGTCTTGGAGTCATGAGACTTGCAGTAATGTCAAGAGRGAGAGCAGCATTGAATCAGGCTGGGTGAGGGAGAAAGGGGACACTTGTTTTACAGGGTCCAGTGTGGTGGAGGAGGGAATTAAAGAAAAAAAAAAAGCCTTGCTTGAAATACTGGTAGCTTTACAATCATCTCTTTGTAACATTTCCTCCAGTCCCAAGTACTTCTGTACTTCTGTGTTTAAATCAATGTATGTCTACAGTTCTGTGCACAAGACCTGCTGGACTCTCAGTATGGGAAAAACAACCTGTAGGAAAAGAGGTGGTGGGAGTAGAGAAGGACAGGGAAAATGTCAGGTAGGGAGGAATTTATTTGTAGCCTAAAATAAGCAAATGCAGAAAAGAGCAGATGCTTTTAAACATGCTGGTATTGGACATGCTACTGCAGATTTGGATCCTCCTGGGCAGAGGAAGAAGGGGAGCATATTAGTAAACCTGGGGATCAGGTTTAAACGGGGACAAGATGTAAACGCTGTCATGCCAGCATGACCTACTTCCCTCATGCCTCCTGGATGTGTCCATGGTTTCTAAGTCCTAGGTATGAGGTACATATGAAGGTTAATTATATGGAGATATATTAGTCATTGATAAGTAGAAAGGGATGGATGAAAAATGCAGACTTCCCTGCTAAACTAAAAAAGGCATTTGTGGTAGCTGTGTATAAAAATAGTCTGGACATTGTAGCTTTGACTGAAGGTGGGTTTGAAGTACTGTGGCCGTGCTGATTAGTCGTGTGGAATCTATCTGCTTTCTGTTGAAGCAAAAAAAAAGGGTTTACAGGAAGATGAATAAATGGGAATGGAGTATCTGTGATCCAAGCAAGAAGAATTATTAATGTTCCAATGACTTTTGCAAACTGAAAGCCCTGGAAGTTGTTTGTGGGCTAAGAAAACCACAGGTACTCAGGCTTGGTAAAAATGAAGTCTTTCAAAATTTGCTTGAATGCATAAATAGGAATCCAARTATTGTGGTGATAGAAGAGCTGACACTCTTTCCATCCTTCAGATATCATTTGCAGGACACTGGAGGTGGTGGAAGAACCAGAAAGCCWCACTGCTCTACCGTGGTGTAAACTGCTGCTGAAAATCATAAAGAAGAAAAGGAAACTTGATTTACAGTTTTTGATAAAGTGACATTGGGGAATTTATGCTTCCTTGTCAAGTTACTTAAGAGATTCTGACAACGGATCCAAAGTAACTCCATCTTCAAAAGGGACAAAAGAAAATCATGTCAAATCTGATAGTCTTCTGATGTGGATTTCTACAAGGATTCTTCAAACACAAATTATTTTAAACAGCAATGGCCTTATTCAAGATGCCATAAATAAGGTAACAGAAGCATGTCAAAATGATACAGTTTGTGCTGAAATCTGTTCTACAGCAGCTAAGAGGGTTGAAGCTAACCTTGTGCATCAGAGGTATGTTATAAATGACTGGCAAGAGTGACTCCAATATTTGGCCCATGGTTTTCAGAACAGTTTGGAAAAATATTTTCACACAGTATGTGCCCAAAATATTTTTATAAGCTATCCTCTGCATTTTATTTATATCATGTAAAAGTTTGTATCCAGAGACTATAGRCCAATTACCCATCCAAAGTAAGCAGCAATGTTGGTTGGAGTAAAAGAAACAATAACCAGATTAAACTGCTAAAATWTTTTTTTTTTCATTTGTATACTTTATATAAGTTCCAGCTGAAAGAGAGGGCCCATATTGTTTGAGTCTGTGCAAAAGCAGAGTGCAGCGTATGGAGAGAACACAGGGAATGCACAGAGTAAAAATTTGATCTGAGAAAATTGTATAAAGAACAATTGTGAGAAAAAGGAGGAGGAATAAAGGTGTTGATTCTGTTACAATTAAAAGTATTTGGTTTTTTGCTTAAATTCCTCTACTTTTGCTTCTTATTTGAGGAGGATATGAGAAGCTTCATTTTAATCTGAGCTTGCCTAAAGATTCTTTTACTTCCAGGCTCTGTAACATGGTAATCTATGATGAGAAAAAAATCACAGCCTAGATATAGCAAGTGTTCCTTTGATGAACACCACCAAAGTTTTTACTGACATCGTGGAGCACTTTTCTTAAGCAAGCAATTTAGCTTCTCAGAATAATATCTGTAATGGTGGACGGTAATATTTACGTGCACCAAATGGGTAATTCAACACTCAGGATGAATTCAGAGCTGCTGTGGCGGGTTTTACTTCTTTGAAGTSAAATGATTTGCACATGCCTGTGTAATGGCCGAGTGTGAGCTCCTCAGTTTTTCAAAGTTAGGTTGCTGAATATACCGGAGCAACTGTTTTGGAAACATACTTCCTAATCATAGCATTCCTATTCCACTAAGGATGTGGTTTTGATCAATTATTTACTTACCCAACCTCAAACATACACTTTCCAAAACCTTTCTTTGTTCAGTTTGTACCCAAACTTYATGTCTTTGGTACAAGCATCTACAGAGAGTGTGAGAGAAGTGTCTGTTGCAATTGTGTGCAGCTCCAACATGTGAAACAACATGAAACAAGCATGATATTTGATTTTTTAATCTCCTTTAATTTTGTGAGATTTCACTACATTAGAATATCCTCACCAGCAGCCCTTCTGCAGTTACCAAACATCTCAGCTTTGTTTCAGTGCTTAACCAGCTGTAAAAGATATTTTATTGCCTTATATATTCTTCCACCATAAAGCTCACCATTTAAGTAAATCATTCCAGTGTTGCATTATAGATGACTCTGAAAAGGATTTTTTTTTTTTTGTCCAGTAATCGTGACTAGTGGCCAGGTATGCACAGGAACCAACATATTAGGAGCTAACATCAACCTGTCCTGCAGTTATTTGAGAGAGGGGAGTATGCACTCATTACCCCATGAGTAATGCAGCAATCCTCTGCCCTGCTGCTGAGCACCAGCTGGCTGCTGTGTGCTGTCAGAGCTGCTTGCCAGCAGGCACGGCTCATTAAGAGCCCACTTGCAGGATATAACATCTTTGCAGTCAATTAACAATGCTGCTCTTTAAAAAGGTCCAGAGCCTTCCTGATTCAGCAAAGCRCTTCCATATATGTTCAAAGTTAAATGCTTGATTAAAGTTTTGTGTAATGAAGATGTGAGGTCTTGTGCTTGAGGTTAAACAGGTAGGCACATTTCCAAATCAGGGCCTGACATGTTACGGTTCTTGGAGGTTTCCAGGAATCTYGAATATCCTGAAATACTGACTATGCTGATTTCCAAGGTGAGTAAAACCTACAATGGGAAAACAAAGCCACATCAGGTGACTGTGAAGCATGCAGGAAAACTTCTTAAAATCTGTACCTGGTCATCACTGATGTTTGTCTTCTCAAAGAAATTCTAGCAGACTGTTTACATTTTTGTAACCTTAAAATAAATAAAAGAAATTACACAACCCCAGTTGTCTGGAAATGGTGAAAAAATATTCATTCATAGATGATAAAATTAACTTATTCTTTGAAGAAAGAAGCAATAAGAGTAACTAAATTGTTATGCACTTTCTGCCTGTAATATTTCTCACTGGGCAGGGTTTGTTTTGTAACCTGCTTCCTGTGGTCARGTTAAGGAATGTGTATTAGGAGAACCAAAATTCAAACTTTTGCCTTGGTATTTTATGTAACAATGGCTGCCACTTTCCCATGCTTATTTTTTGTTGTATAACATCTGCTCACTTACTGTAATATCCTACTGATAAATCCTAGCAGTAATAAGCAAATGTCTTTGTTCTAGTTCAGTGGGTCAACAGCAGAATCAAAGATAATCTCTCACTGATTGTGAGCTATTTATAAACACTACTCTGATCCTTGTGGATTTGGTCTAAACACCTTACCATGAGTTCAAAACTTGATATTTTCTGTAATAGTATGCTGAATTGTCAGAGCTCACTGCTCCATCTTCTACAATGTCTTATCTTACATCCCCAGTAAYAAAATACAAGGTTCCAGCTGATTGCAATGAGTTTAGAATCAAACATCAAATAATTTTTAAAGCAACTTGTGAATGTTTGGTGAGGCATCCTATGAATATGGATTGTTCCATACTTCCTCTTATTTACTTTGTGCTGTTAAGAGAACAAGTTGAAATAAGCTTTCCGGTGCATATGACACCTTACTTGCATGTTTTCAACTTTTATTTTCAGTCTGATTTGGGTTGGAGGGTTATTTTGGTTTGAATTTATTATTTGGACCTGAAACTTCAAATGAGAGAGCCAAAACAAATACATMTCCTGTACAGAGACTGTCTGGAGGTAGCTGGAACTGGATCACAGCCTGTAGGGCAGGCACAGCACCTCCTGTTGAGGCAGTGGTATGTCATCCATGCCCATGGAACTGGTGCTTGCCACCTTTGAGCTTGGGGATAATGGCTTCTGGTACCCCAAATGATAAGGCAGGGGTCAGATCCTAAGGATCTGTCTCTGGTTTTCACTGTCAGATTCACTGGATCTCTTCATGGGTAAGACTTGGAGGTTTCACAGATTATCATGTTTCAGATATGTGGGGAAAAAGTTGGGTTTTGTTGGCGCAATGCTTGATCACCCCAGAGGTGCAGGCTCTGGAAGAACTGAAATCCAGAGAGGCGAGGTAAATCCTGCTACAACACCAGCCCCTAAATTCCACATCTGTCACAGCCCACAAGAAATCTACATGAAAGTTCAGTGAGAGTCCTTGCCCTGAACTTATTTCAGATGGAACATGTTGGGTTCAGTGATGGACACCTCTTTAGGTRAAAGCATTTGCAGCAAAATGTCCAACCCCTTGCAGGGGTGAGCCAGAGTTGGGAGGCTCCATCAGAAATGGGGGAAACTTCGGAACAGTTTGGACTACATGTGAACTTTACCACTGATGAAATGTAAATAATCCTACTCAGACTCTTAACAGCTGAGTTGCAGCAGAGATTTTGAAAAGAAAGAAYTTGGATCACAATTTTATGGCTATTTCTAAAATATTTTATTGCTGGCTTATGACCTGAGTGTAAATTATGGAGCTTTAAAGAGTTTCATTRTGAAGATTTTGCCCTTTGCTTATGTACAAACCATAAATACTACTGTTTTGTTTTCCCAGGATGTTAAATATATATTTTTAAAGTGCTGTTAAGGAAGACAAGTGGGTTAATAAAAAGAACACCCAACTAATTTGCTTTTTTTTTTTTTAGGTGTAGGTGCTATATTTTTATGATTTGGTACCGAGTAATTATTTTCAGTCAACTGATGTAGGTCAAGCAATTGAAAAGGAGAGGGGAATAAGCCTGTGTTGTATGTTTGCAAATACCCCTATGATGGAAGCAGTGTGCCTAACACTATGTGGATCAGAGAGAAAATGTCTTCTATTAGATGAGCTAAAGGAGAAAAATATCTTTTGGAAGTACAAACCATTTCTCAGGTCAGAAAACAACCAAATGTAGTTTGTGTGTAGATAGAATTGGCTCATATGGTGTGCATACACATACATATGTGTCTACAAAAAATGTGCTTCTGTAGATGCAGCAGCAGCTAGCATGTTGTCTCATTTGTATTGAAACTGTATGGCCATGTTATTCATTTTTAGAAGAGAAATTGTAACAAACAAAAGTGTTTAGTTTCCTATTATATTTTCAAAGCTAACTTAAAGCTRTGTAACTCAAGAAATGTGTTGTGTTTTGGAGTCCAGAGTTTAAAGATCAATTCCTTTTGGATAGGACTGCATCGAGATTCATCAGCAGCTTTCTCTGGCCTTTATCTCTTGAGGTATCCAGTATTCCTTCAAATTTTGCTCCATCCCATGTCAAGATGACTCATTGTCATTTCCTTCCACTGTCTCATGTTGAATGACCATGGGCAGAAAAAATGTTTTCAGCTGCTGGTTTTAGTGAATGTTCTTGTTCCAGTAGACTTACTCAGATAAATTTTTCAAAAGTTATGAAACAGTTATGGTTGTGAGCTCCATGGTATTATCCTATGTCCAATGATGGCACCAATGTCCTTTGCAAACTCTGGGGAAAATGCTGGTTTATATTTATTGAGATGAAATTGAGGGGTGATTCTCCTGTCCTCAAAGGCTGAGGAGAATGTGAGTAGCCACAGTGGTGTGAAATACCTGCTTTTAATGGTCCTAATGATTATTTTTCAAATTTCTTGTATGTAATGTCTATTCTCTTCAGAGATTCAGATGGATCYCTCTTTCAGCTGTCAAGGCCAGTACTGCTGTGCAGTCCTTGCTCTCAGCAGCACCCTCAGTGTCCTGGTGATGGGGTGTCTTGGGAGGACTGTGAGATCAAGCTTCACACTACCTGTGCACTTCAGGCTCTTTGTGCTCTAAGTACGTGAAATAATGCTGTGCCTACCACTTGGCATGTCCAAGGTGGCTAACAAGGAGTGCTTTGACTTAACATCTGGAAAACTTACCGTGATTGTGATGATTTTATGCTTTTTAGGTGGATGAATCTATGTACCTGCCTCAAATAAATATGGAAGGTGTTTTTATATTGATTTCTTAGTCCCTGTAATCAGCATGAGTTTTCATGTTTGTTGGGTAAATGGGTGTTTTCCCTGTGATGAATTACAAGCATGCTGTAAACAACACAAAGGCTGTGTTTCACTGGCAGCATCTGATAAAAGTAATTCTATTGCTGCTGTTCCTAACAAGAAAGGGAGGAGATGCTTTTTGTTATTTTTAATCACTAATATGTCTAGTGGTGGCCCTGAATATACAGAGAAGGGTGTGGAAACAAGGCTGTGTATGGAGGCGTACATTTTCCAACTGTGAGAAAGACATGTCTGCAATCTAACTGTACTCGCCTCAGCTGAAATAAACACTTTTGGGAAGAATTTGGCTGAATGGTTATTTTTGGTCTGGCAGAAGGGAAACCAACTGAGTGACTGTTATTACTCTGATGCCAATTACTGGAATTGACCAGCTTAGGGGCAATTTGCTGACTTTGTTTAAAAACAAAACTGGTCTTTCAGGGTCTAACTGTGATTTAGAAAGGGAGGGGCTCTAAACTACTTATTTCTTTTCTTTCCTTTTATTTTGTTTTTCCTTTTAAAAAATAAATTTATTTTTTTAAAAAAGTTTCCCAGCTGAAAACATTATCTGAACTCCACATGGTGTGGGATTTAGGGAATTAACAGGATGATTCAGACATAYAATCCTCATATTCATTCCCACTCCTGAGAACTTTCCTTCAGGAATCAAATTTCTTTCCTGTTCTTGGTCGGAAACAAAACAAAATCAAACCCTTCTCTCAGTTTTTAATTTTTTTTTTTTTAATTGGAAAGTAGCACGACTAATAAAGCAAACATGAAGCTCCAGCACATGCTGTAGGCCAGTATAATCTCAGGATATGAGTGATGTGATTTCAGCAGGCATTTGCAGCACTCCTCCCTGTGAACTCTTGGCTKATACCTTGTCCCATCACTGCTTCCTTTTCCTCTCCCTTGCTCCATATGAAGACATGTGCCAGCAGGGGCTAAAGGTTGGTTCAAAGTGTTGTCTTTTCACATATTTTTCCTTAGGGAATGGGACAGAGGGTGCTGAGAATGCTGCTGTGTGTATTGGTTTGCATCTCTGTGAGAAGATGGGCAACGCCTGAGCTCTGACCTTGGGTACTAGAAAGTTCTGATCTTGCAGCCCCACTGTTCTCTTTATGTAACTCTGGTTTCCTTTTCCTATAGATGGGGAGAGGGGAAGGTCATATAAGCTGCAATGAACCTCTGCAGTCGGAATTCAGAGTACTCAGATTGTGCAAAATTCCCAAGGTSCACACCAGAAGAATTTTATGATGGATTAGTTTCCCACTCTTTCCCCTTTTTTTGCTTCTTATCAAAACCAAACAAACTCAAACAAAATATATCCTATCATTTAAGCAGGAAATAAAGAAAGTTAGCGAAACTTGGTGCTTGWCTATGCTGTGGCTTAGTTTAAATGCCCACAGGCACCTGTATTTTCTTGCTTTCTCCTTCATAGTATTGCTTTCCTTGGTGCTTCTGGTGCAGATTTGTTTTAAAAATTCCTCTGCCTTAACATTTAATATTTTTTAAATTTACAGTCTCACTTTTTTCCACCTTGATAATTTTTCCTCACTACCCAGAAACTTCTTTGTCCATTCCCTTGGTCCCTCTTTTGCTTTTGAATCAGGAAAATTCTCTTAGCTTACTCTTGTACTTTCTGGTCCACAGTTGATTCAAATAGTACCAAACTTACCTGGTGATTTCTAGATTTTCTTTTATAATGTATTTGTATTCCTTACTCGTTATATTTTTGTTTCATTGCTTTTACTGCTGGCCTTCCCKGCCAAATCAAGGCCTTGTTGGTCAAACTGTCTGACCTCTCTYTTTGTTCATAGAGTCTCCATGGGCTTCTTCTAAAATTCACCTGAGTTCATTTGACTGTTTCCAGCTTCTCTGCACTTCCAATCCTATTCACTCCTGCTTTTCTTACTGTGTCTTCAGTTTGTGGGAACAGTGGAAATGTACTTAATACCTTGCAGCCTTTTTCCTCCCACTGTCACAGTCCTAGGCAGCAACAGCAGCATTGTATTACTGCATTCTAAAGGCAAATGCAGCCAGAGAGGAGGATCAGTGGCTGCCTGCASTATTTTGCCTTTCACCACATTGAKGATTCTCATTTTGCTATTCCAGATGCTGCCAAGCTTTGTGCCTCTGGGGTGCTTCTCTAGTCCTGTCTCTCCTACCTTTCCCCTTGCTGATGTTTCACCAGTGTTTAAATCCACATCCACCTGTGTTTTTATTATACGCAGAGATGGAAACTCAGCCCAATCATTCCTTTTCATTCTTCAGCTTCCTTTTGTTTTGTCTTAAAAATATTCAAGGGGGAAACAGCAGGAGGGATGGAAAAGGAAGGGTTTGGTCTAGACTTCCAAAGCAATTTCCTTTTCCCTACAGAGCACAGCTCATATCCTTCCAGAGTGATGTGGCTGGAAAGTTGCACATTTCTTCTCAGCACTAACTTTCCTGAATTTTTTTCAGTCAAAGCACAGCTACTAGGCGGGATCCAGAGGACCATAAACAGGAGTGTGTGAGTGTTCTTCTTGCTGCCAAACAGGAGAATAAACAGAGATTAATATAGAAGGGAGAGGGCGGTCTAGATAAGCAGCCACAGGGTGGAAATGTTGAAAAAAAGTTAGACAAATATSCATAGAAGCACCTGCACTTGGGCGTTCCTACACTGTGGGGCCTCACAGGGCTTATTTTTGCCATAAATGTCTCAAGGACAGTAAACTGAGCAATGTGGAAGTTGATGATTTTCCTTGAGGGTTAATTGCAAGGTCTTGCCTTTGGGGAGAAAAAAAATGGGTAATGGTTTATTGTTGTAAATTTAACTCTTTATGCGTAGCATTTAGGTCAAGACAGGAGAGTCTTTTTTCTTTGAAATGCATTTATATTTGCTGTTTTTTAATGCCATTTATTATGCCATTTAGTACTGTGACATCTACTCTTACCAGGTTTCTGTGTTTGYTTTAAATCAAACTAATAAATTGGTTTAAGTCAAATTAAAACCAGGCTGAAAGAGTAGCATAGTCATGACTGAGCAACATTCCTYCTCCAGAGAGTTCAAAATACTCCGTGCTTAAATTTTTTCAAATTAATTAAATTCAGTTTGGAAAAGAAATGCTTTGARAAAAATAAAAAAAGAAAGAAGTGACGAGATCATAATATGTCGACTCCATGGAGTTTCTAATTTAGTTYGTGCCTTTATGTGTGTTTACTTAAAATAAGAGGTTTCTTCTGTGTTGAGAGTGTGTGGAGCCATGATCAGGAAGATGAACTGAAATGTGATAATTGTTTGATCTATTCCATTTGGTTTTTGCTTAGCAAGACAATTCACATGATGTTTATTGTCTTGCCACCAGTAATTGCAGATTAGTGTCTGAAGAGCTGATACTTTTTTCTGCGTTTGAAAAAGCTTGTGGCTGATTTCTTGTGTTTTCAGAAAATGCGTAATGAGAAGTACTTCCAAAGTACTAGGTATTGCAGTTATGCAGGAACTTGAGCAGACTGATTTTTTTTCAGTAGATGGATAGATGAGGAAACTGCCTTTTCACTTTATGTCAAAAATGAAAGTTCAGCAAACTACAGGCAGAGGAGCTTTAAAAGATCTCCTGCTTCTCAGACCCTTTGCTTTGAATTCCCAACTACAGAAAAC